GTCACCCTCTCGACTCCGCCTCCTTTCAGAGGCATGTCCGAATAGGGGACGGCTGCACTACGGCTATTCTCTGCATATGTATTCAAATATGGCCTTATTATTTCTATTTCTTCCACAAATAGCATCTGCCACTGCTTCATGTCATTCATGTATTCCTCATCCAACAAATATTTACTCGATGATCTGCGCCATCGAAGACCTCCCATTGTTTGGCACCCAGGTCAACCGATATTCGATTGGCCCGTGGGCAAGGACTGTGCCCGGGCACCTGACATCCATTCCGATCAGATTTCTGTCGATGAGACGGGTTTGGTATTTGCCAAACAGCGTCTTGTGCTTCTATTTCACTTTCGAATTTATCGACTATTCCTATGAATGTGATGGTAAGCGGTTGGAGGCAAAGCTACGAATCGGCCATCCGATTTTCTCAAAGCAACGGCGATTCAAACGGTGGTTGCGGCGACGGAATCCCGATCCGAACACTATACATTTCCAGCAGGAGAGGTAGGGATTGCATTGCTCATTAGCTCATTAGCACCAGCGCTCATTCACTCTCAATGCACTTTGCTGGCATCTCGCCAATAGGATTCACTTTGTACTTGCAGTTACGTCAAAGAATTAGCCGAATCGGCAGCACCTGGCACTCTTGTTGTCACTGTAAAAGCGGTTCATGTCGCCGATCAGCCTCTTTACTACTCTCTGGCTGCTCCTCAGGACTCACGATCCCAGAATATCTTCACTCTGGATACGGTAATTTACGAAAAAATTTCTGAACCCCTCATTTTCAACTGATTTTGGAATTCAGCTATCCGGCGAGATCCGTCTGGCCAAATCACTTGATCGTGAAATCCTTGACAAACACGTGCTGAAAGTAACTGCGTACGAGCGACTCGATCCTACCGTATCGTCCAGCGTTACAGTAACTGTCGATGTGTTGGACGTGCAGGATAATAGCCCTATTTTCGAAAGGGATTCCTATTTTGCTGATATTCGCGAGGATGCACCGGTGAGCCATTTGAGCATAGGTTTATTTTTGTTTTCTACCATATGCCGGCACCATTTGGGTAGAATTTTCGGCGCAGTTCGTCTTGGTGGGGCATTTTGCTGGCTTCCCTTCGCTACCACTTGTTCAGACTGTAAATTCTTGTTAAGCTGCGTAGCAGCAGGAGCTCCGTCTACAATGGGCAGGAGTCTACAGCCTTCTCCAAAGTGTGACAGTTATTTCAGTAGAAACTAGCAAAAATGAACCAGCCCCTCCCAAGCCGAATAGCGCCAAATTTTCTTTCTCTTCTTTCAAGTTGTTGTGCTTATGAAGTATTCACAGGTGTTTTGACTCACTAGAATCCTTTGTTGTCATCCGTCATTCTTTTCGCTTCAATATTCAGTCCTCTGGTTTTTTTTACTTTTTTCAAATTTTGTTCAAATACTCCCCTACACAAGTCAGTTGAGAGGGTTCAGAGGACTTTTTGTGCTGAATGAGGATTTCCGTAAAGGAAATGAAGATTTTTTCCAAGCCTACGAGTGCAGGAATCGCTTGGTGGGAAGTACGTTTTGGTGCAAAAGAGGATTTTGTTTTACGGTAGGGCAGCTTTGCACTTGTAAATGCCCCCTCCCACTGTCGGGTTCATTTCACTTCTTTCCCCTCACTTTAGCAAGGAAAGAACTTCGAACCCTCTCTTATGCCTCAGTCTTTTTGAAGTATGACTGTGATTGATCTTTGAGGAACCCTGCTCTGAAAGAGGCTCCTGTCAGCAGTGGACAGCAACTGACCTAGAATGCCCCCCTCCCCACCTTTAATGCTCGACGGAATTTTTGCGAGAACGAATGGCGAAAAAAGATGTATTAGGTTGTCCGGAAAGTTCTTAGCGTTTTGTGCACCTATTTTTTGTACATTCACTGCTGTTTAAAAACTCTTTCTGCCTTGCTTCTCAGTAGCCAATCCTGTAGAGAATTTCTTGCGCTATCTGATGGTATAATTGCCGTTTCACCATTGCTAATTACTCCTTTTTTCAAGATTTTTTCAAGCATGTGAAAAGAGCACTTCGGACGATTTTTTTCTTCGACTATAAATTGGGGCAATCCGCAACCGAAACAGCTCAGCAAATTAACCAGGTGTGGGGGCCCAATAGTGCTTGAGAAAGCACTGTGCTGCAATGGCTCAACAAAGTTCGTTCAGGAGATTTCAGCATTGAAGATGAACCTCATGGCAGTCGACCTAAAGCAATATCTGACGAGGATTTTGAGGAGATTTTGGAAGGCTGACCCATCCCAAACAGTTCGAGAGATTGCAGAAAAGCTAGGCGTTGGCAAATCCAGTGTTGTAGATTGTTTGAAACGCATTGGGAAGGTGAAAAAACCCGACAATTAGGTGCCCCACAATCGGAGTGACCGGCAGGAATCGGCACGTCTCGAGGTTCCTTCTTCACTGCTTTTGCGCAAAAGAATTGACCCGTTTTTGAACGATTTGTCACCTGTGATGAAAAATGGATCATGTATGATAAGGAGATGTTCCGGACAGTGGTTGGATTTGGAGGAACCACCGAGGTAATTTTCAAAGCCGAACCCTCACGAAAAAAAATTCTGGTCAGGTTTGGTGGTCATCGGCTGTTGTAATCCACTATACTTTTTATCGCCAGGCCAAACCATCACAGCAGAACCCTACTGTGAACAAACCGACCAAATGTACCGAAAATATTGTCAGCTGCAGCCAACACTTATCAAAAGAAAGGGTCCGATTCTTTTGCATGACAACGCCCGCCCACACGTTTCACAAATCACTATCCATAAATTGAACGAATTGGGGTTGAAGTTCTACCTCACCCACCATATTCTCCAGACCTTTCACCAACCGACTGTCACCTTTTCAGACATTTTCAGAACTTCCTTGCTGAAAAATACTTCTTCAATTAAGACCAGGCAAAAAAGACCTTCGTAGATTTCGTGGATTCTCGACCACCCAGTTTTTCCTTTTATGGGATTTCTCGACTGCTGTCACATTGGCAAAAGTGTGCTGATTCGAATGGTGCCTATTTCGATTAAATCCGATGAGTATTAAAAAAGTTACGATCGTTTAAAGTGAAACACCCAAAACGCTGAGAACTTTCCGGACAACCTAATACATGTAAAACATGGAAGGGTCGTTTTTCGCTAGATAGTCCCAACGCGATAGTGCACCCAAGTGCCCATGTACTGTATGGACTTCTGGAGAAGCAGCTCTAGCTCTTTCTGGCTTTCGTGGACCTCCATATCTTTGATTTTACCCTCTGCCTATTCCAGCACCGGTTTCCCTTGTATTGATGTCACAATAATCCGTTGTTTCCCACGAGTGGTAAACTAACAGGGATAGGGTCTTGGGAAAGCGATTACTCGCCATATGAGGTATACTTCCACTCGATGTTATTACTTCAGGCTATTTACTGTTTACTCCACTTCAACTGGAAAACCCACGGAAAAACAATCTATTACCGATGTGAACGCTGGCGGTGATTATGAAGTCAGGGTGGCGAAAATAGCAGGAAACCAACCTATTTTTGCCGCGAATTGCTTTTTTTCTGGGTCTCTGCAAGGACAGAGCAATCAGGGATATTATTGGCTGGAAGTCAAGCCAGTTCTCTTTGACATAGGCCATCTTCGCCTCAGTGGATTTCAACCGGACTTTTCTATGGTTGAGCCCGCTGACTTGGTGGTTTCATTCATGTCGCGCGTTAAATTGGCTTAACTTGACGCCATTCACACACATGCTGTCCGACCACCTCCACGTCTGGTCGTCGATGACCTCCTGTCGGCGCTTACTGCCTCCCACAAATGAGTATAATTGTGGTAACATTCTCTCGTATAGGAAGTCCGATATGACTGCAATTTTCTGGTCTATTTAGCCATTACGCATTGACGCCGGGTAACGATGAATGGACAGATGAGTAGTGCTAAAGCGCTAATCCACTCCAGTGACACACACGAGAACAATATGTATCGATCGATCGCTGGAGGGCGTTCTGCTTCCATGGCACGTCATACTTTGGGCATCTCCAGCAATGCAGGTCGCATTTGGGCGCTGGAGGAATGGAGGAGGGTAAAAATCGCCTCCGAGAAAAAAGTTCTCGCTTGTCGATTTTTTTCGGTTTTTTCTGTCTCAAGCGCCCTATGTAATCACTTCCACTCAAGGCCGAATTTGTGGAGGAACTCTTCAAAAAAATCTCCGGAAAGGGTGGTGGGAAGTTTCGAAGAGCTGGAAAGACGGTAGGTAGAGTAATCGAAAAGGGGGAGGTAATGTGCTAGGGATAAGTTTGAAGGCGGAATGGTATTTCGCAGGAACTTTCGCCAACAGCAGGACGAGCCCAGTCTGCTTTACATGTAGCCTACGAATCACCCACAGTCAATTGGTGTGAGAAGGCAGCGCCGAAAAACCTCCGGTCGCCCGAAGATCTACTCGGGCTGGCTGGCTCAGAGCACACCATCGTGGGGATTCCATAACAGGATGGGTCGTACATATTTGGTTGCTGGGCAGAGGTGAGGGGTCGCATTTGCTTTTGCCGTGTTGGGAAAAGGTTTTTTCCGATCGCTAACTCTCGCGCTTTTCCCTGTTTCACATGTTACCCCCTACCGCTCGACAGCAAAAATTTGGAGGAAAAGTACGTCAATTTCCGGGAAATTCCGGGAAAACTGGAAAAAGTTAGGAAGTTGGGGAAACCCACGAAATCGGTAAATGGTATGGAAAAGAGGCGTATTTTCCTCGCCGTTTTTTCCCTTTTCACATGTGCTGTAATATCCTCTCTCCCTGCAGCAGGGCACATCGTTGTTGGGGACTCCCCAACAGGGGGTCGTATTCAGTCTGAGAAAAATTTGCTTGATAGTTGATTTTTCTTGTTTCTTCTTGTTTTCTTGTTCGCCCCCTCCCCCTCGACAGCAAAATTTTAGGGTTAAGGTAGAAAAATTCTTGAGAAAGTTGGGAAAAATCTAGGAACCTAGTAGGAATCTAGGAAATGGCAGAAAGGGGGATCGTATTCTCCTCGCGGCTCAGTGAGGGGGGAATGAGGGTCGTACCAACCTACTAAAAAAGGGGGTCGTACGGATTCGACCAAAACCCCCAACTGATGATGTGCCCTGTCCCTGCAGCCCCGTCGTACCAGAGGAGGAACCAGGGGGGCGTGGGGTCGTAACGAGTCACCTCCTAGGGGAGGACGCGCGGACTCGACCAAGTCCTCAACCAATGATGTGCCCTGTTTCTGAGGCGAAAGTGGAAGAGCTCCTAGAAAGAAAACTTCAGAAACGTGGTCCAGAGCTGGAAACATTTAGGAAGGTGGTAGGTGGAGTGCGGGATGTATCAGGGGGAAAATTAGTGTAGGGAAGGTGGTATTTTGCCGAAATTTTCCTCAACGACAGGACATGTTCTGTCTGCTTCTCATGTTGGTCACCAATAATCCACAGTCAATTGGTGTGAGAAGGCAACGGCGAAAAACCATCGTTTGCCCGTAGATCTCCTCGGACTAGTTGGCTCTTCGATGGACGCCAACGGTAACTAAGCGCGAGGGTTTTTCCGAGCGCTACTGACAGCGTCGTTTATTTTCAGACGTTAGCAGCAGTGCATCATATATTACAGCGACTAACGCATTTATAGCATATTTGCATGCGCTGAAATGGTGCTGGCTGACATATGCGCTCCTGGCACTCTTCGGTCTGCCGAGGTCCCAAGAGGAACGGAAATTGTGCCGACAAAAAGCACTCGAGTTGCGCTACTTAGGCGGACGAAAAATTCGAAACGAAGGAGTCAGAAGAGCCATTGAGTGTCTTCAGCCACTTGGACGATATCGGGCGGCCCTGTTGAAATTCCATGCATGTGGAACGCAGTCTTTAACGAATTGGCGCCTAGAAAATAGACATTTGATGACTCAGAAATTAAAAATTAACTTGTGAGGTACCGGGGGCTCAGGGCAAGCGCAAAGCTGAGGGAACTATTGCCAAGCACTCTTCAAGTGCAACTATTTTTAGCATAAAGTGTCACTTCCACAG